ATCTTGTGCAGTAAAAGCAGTAAATTAGGCTGAGAAAAGCTAGTTCCTCAATGAAGGTGACCTAAGAAATAACTAATGAGAAAAGGATTAAAAATTTTTTTTAGATTTTCCTGCCTACTGAGGCTCTCAGGTGAAAAGTGTTGCCCCAAAACAACAACAGCAGACTAGCTGTGTACAGGTCCTGCTGGGGGACAGAGCTGCATCCACTCACGCTAATGCCCTTAGAGAGCATGCAAGACATGTTGGGTGTTCCAGCTTGGTGCTCATTCTTCACCCTCATTTCTAGATGTTTCTAACAGACTTGCTGGAACTCGTTTAAACCCATGTCCCGGCTCTCTCCTCAGGTACTGTACCCCGTGTGCCACGTGCGTAACCTGATGCTGTGGAGTGCAGTGTACCTGCCCTGCCCATCCCCGTCCACCCCAGCGGACGACAGCTGTGCACCATACCCAGCCCCTGGCACCAGCCCTGATGATCCGCCCCTGAGTCGGTGAGCCCAGGGTTGATACCAAGACCTCAGGTCCTGTGTGGGTGTTTTCCCAGGGACGGTCAGAGATCATGACCTTGTCTGGTTCCACATGTCTTTCTTGGGCCTCTGAAGTTTTCATAGGGAAAGTAAAAGGGTTCTGGGCTTTGAGGCTGTAAGAGCCTTGTTCCCTGAAGAGTATTGGGCCCATTGCTGCATGGCCTGCTGCATGCACTGAGCAGTTTCTCAGTGATGGAGCAAATCCTCTGGGTTCCTTGTGACCCTCTGACTTTAGTTTTAGCCACTGCTCTGCTCCTGCCTCCCTGCCATGATCTGTCATCTTGGGTTTGAAAGGCAGATGTGTCAGATGATAGATGATAGAAGCTTTGACTTTGCAACTTATGAATTAGCTTTATTGAATTCAGACTGATAATAAGTTAATGTAAAATACTGTAATATCAGAAAATCAGCAGTTCTACCCTTCTTTGCCACCAGTTGAGAAAGATGGCAGTATCACGAAGGATGTTTTTTTAAAACAGCATTTGCTGTTAGCTAATTCGTACGTTTTGGGCATGGGGTAGGGGTGGTGCCAGAGGAATCAATTATGAAATGACTGCCTGGTGAAACCTGTTGACTGCTACTTTCCTAGATTCTCATTTCCCCCAAACTCCTTTCTTTAGGCTACCAAAGACTAGATCATTTGACAATCTGACCACAGCCTGCGACAACACGGTGCCTCTAGCCAGCCGGCGCAGCAGTGACCCAAGCCTGAATGAGAAGTGGCAGGAGCATCGGCGCTCGCTGGAACTGAGCACCCTGGCCGGTCCTGGAGAGGAGCCTCTTGATCCTGACACCCTGGGGAAGCCGACCAAAGTGCTGGGTGGCGCTGAGCTGTCTGTTGCAGCTGGAGTGGCTGAGGGGCAGATGGAGAACATTTTGCAAGAGGCCACCAAAGAGGAGAGTGGGGTAGAGGAGCCTACCCAGAGGGCGGTGCAGGAGGTCAAAGAGGAGGAGGCTCATCTAGAAAAGGAGAGCAGGGGGAAGACCCCTGAGGGCCCAGCTGTCATACTTCATCAGGAACCAGAACTGGGGGGTGCTGCTCTGAGGAGTGATCTGGGCACCAGCCTTCTTCTGTTCTCACAGGGTATTCCTGAGCAGCAGGGTGGGCACAACGTAGTCCCCAGTTGTCTCCAGGAGCTCCCCAAGGGAGAGGATGCCCAGGACATCCCTGTGGAACAGTCTCGAATAGGAGCTATCGCAGAGGACAGGGAGGAAGCTGTCCTTCCAATCCCAGTAGATGCGAAAGTTGGCTATGGTACCTCACAGTCAAGTTCTCTGCTGCCCTCCCAAGTCCCATTTGAGGCCAGAGGACCAAACACGGACAGTTCCATGGACATGTTAATGGAAGATAAAGCAAAGTCAGAAAGTGGGCCCCAAGACCATCATAGACCTTGCCTGGTAACCAGTGGCAGGTTCAGTGGCAAGGATGTGCTCCTTCAAGCCATGGAGCCCAGGCCTTTGGCGAGGAGCTTGGCTGAGAGGCCCCAAGTGGGATCTCTGGTGCATAGGACTTCCCTTGGCAGCACCCACAGCCCGACGCATTCTCTTTGTGCCTTGCCTTTAGCCGAATGTAAAGAGGGGCTTGTGTGCAATGGTGCCCCAGAGACTGAAAATAAGGCCTCAGAGCAGCCCCCAGGGCTTAGTACCCTCCAGAAGCACCACACCCCCAATGGGCACTGCGCCAATGGGGAGGCTGGTAGGAGCAAGGACTCTCTGAGCCGCCAGCTGTCTGCCACAAGCTGCAGCTCTGCCCACTTACACTCGAGGAACTTGCACCACAAGTGGCTGCACAGTCACTCAGGGAGGCCATCTGCAACCGGCAGCCCTGAGCAGCCTTCCCGTAGCCACCTAGATGATGATGGCATGCCTGTGTACACGGACACTATCCAGCAGCGCCTGCGTCAGATTGAGTCAGGCCACCAGCAGGAAGTGGAGACCTTGAAGAAGCAAGTCCAGGAGCTGAGGAGTCGCCTGGAGAGCCAGTACCTGACCAGCTCCCTACGCTTCAATGGGGACTTCGGGGATGAGGTGGTGAGTACACCATGGCGCCTCCATAGCTACCCAAGGAGACAGGGCACACTGAGCCGGGCCGCCCTTTGTACAGATTACTGAAAGAATTAGGTCCAAAGTAGTAGCCCTGTTGAGAGAGGCTGGAGGTCAGCCTCAGCCAGGTGATTGGCAGTGTGCCTCTTTTTCTTTCCTGCCTTGCTTACTTCCCACGAGTATCCTGTTTAGGTAGCTAGAAGAAGGAAGTGTTCACACTCACTGTGTGGGTGGTCAAATCTCTTGGGAGAGAGGATCATGTGTCTTAGGAGCTTAAATGGCGGAGTGACATTTGTAGGGCAGCGTCAAATATTCTTGACAAATTACAGTGCCTGTCCTGCCCCAGTAGCTGGTAAACAATTAGCCGCCCCTCCACCCTGACAGGAGCTGTAGCTGTGACAGTTTAGTTCTTTTTAAACACAGATATCTGTACCCAGCCTGGAGCAGGTAATGGCAGTAAAAATGGGGAGAAGGATTGATTTCTAGCACTGTTGGGAGTTAGCACTAATGGGGCCTGGTGACTGGAAGTGGGGATACCTGAGGGGAGGTCCTCAGGCAGGTTCTCTCCTTACTGGTGGGTCTGACTGGATGTGTTCAAGTACAAGTGTGAGTCTGGCTCTGAAGCAGTCAGCGTACATTAAAGGCGGGCTCATCCAATGACTTTCAATTCAAACTGACTTCTTGGTTTTCCCTTATACTAATGATGGTTTCTCATTTTCCCAAAGAGTCCTTCAGAAAAAGGAGGACAGGCCCAAAGCACTCAGTTTCAGCACACAGATGTAAGTGGCAGGGTTGGATTGACAGGCCCCCCCTGGAGCAACTGACACTGAGTTCCCACTCCAGAATCACTGTACACAGCCTTAGACTGTGTATCCCTCTTCCAGCTGAGCTCTCAACCCTGTCTCTGCACCTGCTCAACCAAGTTCTTGATGGCTGAGGCACCTAGAGATTCAGCAGCCCTAACACCCAGGCCCACCCCAAGTCCCTAGTGGTCCCTTCTTTACCAAGCCCTTTCTTCTTCTGGGAGGAGACCGGGTTCATTCTGTTCAGCTGTGTTTGTTTGCCAACAGACTTCAATTCCTGACTCGGAAAGCAATCTGGATCAGAACTGTTTGTCTCGCTGCAGCACAGAGATTTTCTCTGAAGCCAGCTGGGAGCAGGTGGATAAACAGGACACGGAGGTACAGGCTCAGCCCCTGTTCTGAGTGCCACCCATGCAACTGTTCTGCGGTTCTTCTCCACCCCATCCTTTCCCCTGCCCCTGGCCAAGGAATGACCTCATAGCACACTTAGCCTCGAGCCTCTCTGCATCTCAGCGCCTGTGAAACCCCATCAAGCCTAGAATTTTTGAGCCAGGGAGACTCAGCAAGCTGGCCTTCTCCTCACTGCCTCTATGAACTAGAGCCTCGCCAGCTCTCATAGTGACCCAGGGTGCTGTTGCCTGCCACTTGATCTCAGGGGAGTTTGGAGCCCTCTCAGGGAAACGATTTGGACGCCTTTCTTGTACTGCTGACATCAGACCTGCTGGGCTGGTGCCACTGGAGCCAGTGTGGTCCTTGTGACTCTTGCTGCCCCCAGCATGGCTCTGCTGGCTCCAGCTGGATGGCCCATCTCCTGTCACTAACCTGGCCCCATCTGTTTTACAGATGACCCGTTGGCTCCCTGACCACCTGGCTGCCCACTGCTATGCGTGCGACAGCGCCTTCTGGCTTGCCAGCAGGAAGCACCACTGCAGGTGCCTTTGTGGGTTATGGCGGGGTGGGCAGGGGTGTGGAGGCTGAGATTTGGTCCACAGAGCCTGCAGGTTGGAGAGATGCAGGCGTCTGGCTGGCAGTATTCTGAGGCAGAGCCTGGGACTCTACAGGCCCCAGTTCATCTTTTGTTCCTCTGAAATTGGTGTTTGCAGAACTGCATTTGGTATCTTTCTTCCATTTTAGTGATCATGAGTAATTTTGAAATGTGCAAGTGATGTCCCTTTGTACTATTACTTTGCTTCCTGGATTGGTAGAGCAACAGCCACCACCCAAACCACCATTTCTTATTCCTAGAATAAAATTTCTTTCCATTCAGCATGGTTGTTATAAGCAAAAATAGTTTTCCTGCTGTGGGTAGGGAACTTCATTTTCCTACTCCTTACCCTACTCCCTGACCCCACACTTGTTGGGGGATACTAGGGGGCATAGCTGAGGAGATAGTCTTCGATCCTTAAGGCTCCTGACTTCTTTCTTCTTTCTTGGTTGGGGTAGTGAGTTGCTAGGGATGCTTTGCCCCAGCTGGGGTGATGGCTGGAGGATGTTCAGTGTTCTCGGGATAGGATTTTATCTGACTTGTGACGTAGCTCACCCACACAAGTGGAACTGGATTGAAAGTGGAACCACCTCTCTGTTTAGTAATGCTTCTAGGACTCCCCACCTCCCCACCCTCACCCCAAGCCCAAATGTCTTTGGTTGGCTTCTCCTCTGAGCTCTCTCTCCCCTCCTTGCAGGGACACTGACCGTGTTGATCAAACGTGGTGAGCATTTGCAACAACCTGTCTGTGATGTCTGCACATCTACAATAACTTCCCCACACTAACGCTGCCATTTCCCCCTCTCTGCACTCATTGGGATGAAGCTTGGGGCTGGGAGCACAGTCAGGCAGGTGGGTTCAGGGTTGGGGACCAGAGCAGCCAGTTGAGGAGACCATTAGAGCTGAGTTAGGCTGCAGCCATGGGTGCCCCTGCTGATAGCACAGGTCAGCTAAGCCATCTTGCTTATGACAAGAAGTGGTGTGGTGCTTCAGCAAGGACTGGTCTCGTGGAGTAGCCAGTTGAGGGATTTTAAAGCTATTTCTTTTGGGTCAGTTATTCGTTGAGATGCCAGAATGATGGTGGTGACTTCCAAGTCAAACAGCATCACTGCTCCTTTTTTTCTTTTCTTTCTTTCTTTCTTTCTTTCTTTCTTTTTAGCCCAGTACTAAACAGAAGTGGTCTTTCCAGGAAACTATGTTAGCATGGAAGACATAAGGGAAAACTCTATTTAGGGTCTATCAGGATCCCCTGAAAGAAGGCAGATAGAAAAGCTTAACTGATCAAATTCATGTCAGGCTTTTGAGCTGAATTCTAGCAGGTAGGTTAAATGTACACATTCAGAAATAGATTTAGGTAATTATTCTCTGTAACCACGGGGTTTTGCTGACTAATGCTTTTCAGAAACAGTTGTGAAGTACTCACTGCATTCTAGAAGATGAAATCTTGTGTGTTTGTTTTAGTTGTCTGTCTTTCCATTGCCCCTTGTCTAGCTTTTCCTTTTGTGGTATTCTTTTGTCCCCAAAGGGTATTTAGTATGCTCTCCTCCATGTTCAAGTGGTCCTTAATCCAGCAGTGGGTTTGCTTTCTGAGGAGGAGTATAGATGAAAAGGTAGTGAGTGATGCTGGCTAAGGAAGATTTGGCTTTAGCTGCTTTCCCCAAGTCTTTGGCAGGCTGTGTCAGGCTCCTCAGTCCCCTGTTCTTGCCTTATCGGCACTGATGTGTACTTTACCCCCGTGGGGTTGCAGGGTGAGCAGAAACTCATCCTCTGCCAGTTCCCTTCCCTGCTAATTGTGCAGGGCATATATTTGGTTGTCCAGGCCTGTCCTGTACAGACAACCTCAGAGAGGCTTTCCAATGGAGGAGGGGAGAGAGGCCTGAGGCCTGGGTGCAGGCAGGGCTGATGTTCGCTGGAGATGCATGGGGCAGGGAGTGAGCCTTGACTGACTGACACCTATCTAATAAGGGGATGTGTGTGCATGCGTGTTCATCTGTGCTTTTGTCTGTTTACCCTGAGCATGTGTCACTGGTTGCTTGTCTCCTGGCTTCGCATGCGGGCAGCAAGGCAGTCCTAGATGGCAGCAGTCTGTTCTTCGTGTTTCTGCCTCTGAGCCTTTGGGCAAGGCTCCCCACTCCCCAGCTGGACTGGGAGTTTCTCTCTGAGCGGCTCAGAGGCAGTTCCGTTGGTCTCTGGCCTCTCTGTGATCACAAGCTACATAGAGGCTGTTGCCCAGGTGGGTGTGGCCCCTCTCTTTTCCTGGGCCAAGACTTACCCATTGAGCTAGCTGCTGCCTTCTGCCCTGGGCCCGTGTGTTCTCACGGCTCTCTCTTGAGCAACATCTTCTGTACACCTGGTAACCTTGAGCCATAGTGGTGAAGCAGCCAAGTGTCTCTGGCCCTAAGGAAGTGGCGTGTGACTGTGCTAGGTAGGGATCCCCTCCCTGCCTGGCTTCTTTCTGGGTTAGACAGAGTGTTTGATCTTAGAGGAGTGTTTGATCTTGGAGGAGTCTCCAGCACATCTAAATTATATACAGTAAAGCGCTGTCTTCTGAAATTGGTCTCCCTACCCCATGTTTGCTACTGAAACTAACATAGTATTGTTTCTTCTCATCTCAAGGAATTGTGGGAACGTATTCTGCTCCAGTTGTTGTAATCAGAAGGTTCCAGTTCCCAGCCAACAGCTCTTTGAACCTAGTCGAGTGTGCAAGTCTTGCTATAGCAGCCTACATCCCACAAGCTCCAGCATTGACCTTGAACTGGATAAACCCATTGCTGCCACTTCAAACTGAAGCTCAGTGACCTGGGGCGGGCAGAGGCCAAGCTGCAGTTCCTCTGACAGGCCCACACAGCCTGGGCAGACCGAGAGGCCCGTGCACTTTGGAATGGGGACATGGAACCACCTGTGCAGAATGATGGAAATTTGGGATGTACCACTGGATTGTAGATTGATACCCCCTCCCATTTTTTTTCTCCCTTTTCTATCCTTCTGTCTCCAAAAAAGAAAAAAATCCCCTCATCTCAGTTTTTTTTTTTTTTTTTTTTTTGGATGAAAGACCAGAGGTTGCCAGGCTCCTGTAACTATTGAGCTGCCTGCTGTCAGGTGATGCTGAGGTTTGGCTTGGTTCCTCAGAATGGGAGGAAGCTGGTTGAGTCAGGAGTGGAGGCCTGAGATAGTGAGCAGGGAATAAAGTCACTGCTGATGTTTGTGACTGTTACTGCCGCATCAGAGCTGGTTGGAAAAACCTTGCTGCTGAGGACACTAAAAATATCTGCCCCCGGTGCAGTGCTCCAGGTCCCCTCTCCCTCCTGAGAGAGGCTGGGCCAGTCCCACCCCACAGCCAGATAAATGGGATTGGCATTTGGAGGGAGGGGCATGTAGTAAACGGAACCCCGAAGGCCCCCCTTTTGGGGAAGGAAAGGGTATGTTCCTCTGAGGCAAGTGAGAGGGCTGGGAATGGGTGACCAGCATATTCTCCTCACTGGGATTCCCTTTTTATCTTAACCCAGATTGTCTAGTGCTCCCTTCACTGTCAGCCTCCCTCAGCCAGGCTGTGTAGCACTTCCCACCCTCAGGCATAAGGGTGCAGACTGGCCAGAGTGCAGTGTCCTGCTGCTGTGGCCAAGGCCAAAGTATGCCCTGAGCCCAGGCACACCTGGAAGCTCCTTCCCTGGCCTGCTCCCCCAGACAGTCTCTCTTCCTTCCTCAGCCAGCACAGGGAAATCCAGACTCAGGGTTGGAAAAACTCCCCACTCCCAAACCAAACCAATCATGGATCTCCCCTTTAAGGGGCAGAATCAGCCTTTCAGAGTACAAGCCTCTGGAAATGGGAGCATGTTCCATACAATCAGCCTTCCCCCGACGCCCCTTCTTGGAGCGGTGGGAAGGGCCCAGCAGTCCCACTGCCCTGCTCCTGTGCTGCTTCCCAGCAGTGAGGGGCCACTTGGTGACTCTGCAGAGTTCCTTAGAGAAGTAACAGCCCGTAGGAGATGCGAGGCACCTTTCCTCAGTAAGCTCTGATGTGGTCCAAAAAGAGCCTTAAATCAAGAATACCTGTGGTGGAGGCGCGTATGGAGAAGAGTGGAAAGGCATTTAGGTTTGTGCTTTGTGATCTTGGCATCCGTGTTTTGTGCCTGCCCTCCCTCCTAGGGGAAGGGCTATGCTTGGCTCTGCTAAAAGCTGCTAGCTGGTAACAGGGCGCATTGTGGTGGGCAGTGGGGGTGAGGTCAGGGAACTGTTCTGACTCTTTGGAAGCAGTTCCCTGGCCACAGGCAAGTTGAGTCTCAGGAAGGTGGCTCCTGTGTGTGCCTGGGTACAGTTAAGACGTGACCCAGAAGCCTTCCCTGGAGCTGTCCAGGCAAAGCCAAGAGCATCTGAGTACGTCTCTCACTTCCCAGTGGCAGCAGGTTGCTCAGAATTTGAGTTTAGTGAAACAGGGTGTAAGTTCTTCTCCACACTCTGTGTGGTCTGGCCTTGCAGATAGGGAGAAGTCAGTCTAATTAAAGATTGTGCAGTTCCTAGTGACAGGTGCCAAGAGGTTATGATACGGGTTTCTTGGGTCTGATGTACAGTGTGAATAAATGCTTGCAGCTCTTAGCCCTTTTTTGATCAATGAAGCACTTTTTTAATATTTTCTTTGTATGTAAAGGAGGAAACGTAACCTCCGTAGCTGTAAATATAACCCTTTTCTCTTAAAGAGGAGTCAGTGCTCCTATATTTTTCATTTTTTTGTCAAAGCAAGAAGTAAATACTTTAGAACTGTTAAATATATAAATAAAGTAAATAAAGTTTAGTGTTCCGCATGGTAGCATTTGCTAACACGTTCTAATTCTTTTCCCTGTGGTTTATTCCCTCCTCATCCCATTTTTCTCTTACACAGAAGCAATTTGAGGTGCTGCTGGGAAAATGAACTTTGGCAAAGGAAAACTACAGACTTATTTTCAACTCTTGGCAAGGAGCCGTATCATGAAGCCCACATACTGAAATACATTTCCGTGGTGGTTTTTGCCCTGATATCTCCAGAGCTAAAAAGGCAAAGCAGTCAGACATCTTAACAATCAGCCGTTCTTCCTTATCTGAAGAACTGAATGTCAGCAGTAACTAAAACTCTGTCCTCCCAGGTTTTTTTTCCCCTGCTGTTGCTGATTTCAGGGCATCCAGTGCTATGGCCCCTTAAGCCCAACCCAGCCAGGGAGCATCATCTGCAGCTGTAGCAGCAGTTGAGCACAGAGGCCTGCATGCAGTGGAGGCCGAAAGGTGTTGGGGGGAGGGTGACGAGAAGGTGTGTCTGCTCTGCCTGTCCTTGGATGAGAGAATCTTGGGTGGGCAGAGAGACCCTAGGGCAGGAACTGAATTGGAATGTGAGTGAATTATGTGCCTAACCAGAGGTCTCCTCCCTCCTACACAGAGGGAAGAACCTCTGCTCCTTAGACCTGCAATCAGCTGAGAAGGCCATAGCTTCTGTCACTTGACTAGTTCTTGCTTTTCACGGAGGTGGATTTTCTTTCCCGTGTCGTCTTGGGCACCCTTCCCATCCCCCAGGCCTGTGGGGGCACATGCTATACAGTTCCTCCCTAGGGAAGGTAGGTACTGAGTGGTGCCCAAATCTCTACTGAGTTGGGCTGGGCTGATGAGTAACCTGCTCAGAGACACCTCCAGGGTCACTTGCTGGATGTACTCACTGCCTAAAGTCCACAGGCACTTAAAAACAGCTCAGCTGGTTCCATCTGAGAGCTGTGCGGGCCATCCTGCAGATGTTTGAGAATTAGCCTGTCCTCTGGGAGGAAAAAGTGCCACTTTAGCTGCCTTCAGTCCATCAGGGACCTGAGCTTGTGTTCAGACCAAATTGTAAAAACCTGAGTGAGTGTATGTCATAACCAATGTGTGTCTACACAAAGCTCCTACTGTTTCTGAGGTCTAATGGTTCAGTCCTCAGTGAGTTAAAAAACACCAGTAGAACGTAGCAAGGCTGTGACGACCATAGATGGGGAACTCCTGGAGTTAGGAAGATGAAGAGCTAGGCTGCCAGTGAGACCTGCACAGTGTGGGTGGAAGATGGCTGTCTGTGGAGAAGAGAAGTTCTCCGAGGATGAGGCCAGCTTTCTTCAGGCTGTCACATGGAGGAATGTGGTCTGAGCAGTGGTCCTAACTGTGACCTTGAGCTGCCAGAATGTCCCCCTCCTGTTTTTTTTCCCTATCCTGGTTGTCTTAATATTTTCTATCTACTTTGGTCTATTTAATCCCAGTCCAAAAATGACAGGGCTGCCTTAATCCACTGGGACTTCCTAGTGAAGGTGTATAGAAAATTTTTTTCTTTAGTAATTTTGCTAACATGCTCAGTGTTCATTTCTATGTTAGCAAAGGAATAGTCTAAGAAAAAGGTACTGTGGTAGATTTAAAGGGGAATGAACAAAATGCTGCTGGAAGACTTGTTAATTTCCAGCTATTACAAAAATATACGAATGGGAAGTGAGAGTAAACCCTAGAATATGATTTTGGGCCTTTGTCCTTGAGACAGCTGATAGACTTGACCGCTGCACTTGAGGCTGGAGATCCCATGCCCACTGAAGTCGTTAACTCTAGCTCTGACCTCTACTGATTTCTTAAGAATGAGGGCTGCTTTGAAGGTGCTGTTGCAGGAATTCATTTAGCTGATGTGTGTTCAAGTGACCTGTTGTCCAGGGCTCCAGCTGTACCCACCCGATTGCATTAGCAGAGGGTAAGGCTAACAGTTAAAAGTGGGCCCTGGGCTGTGGAGCGAAATGACTGACTCTCCATTTGGAGTTGTGGAAAATATGGCAGGAGTCCCAGCTGTTTAATTTCTAGTCATTTTCTAAGAACATTTGTTCTAAGTCGAGGTTACTGATGAGATGTCTGGAGGGCAGGACCAGAATGTGAGAGGCTTCTAGCAGGTATAGGAGGCTGTGCTCTTAAGCCTCTGACTGAAATACCAGTGTCCCTGCCCCCAGCACATAACCACACTGACGCTTTGGTCCTCTCCATTGAGTGAAGTTTACCTGCTGCACATTTGTGCAGTAACAGCTGCCTCCCTGGTTGAACGGGGCTCTTTTAGGCTAGGCAGTTGTTCAGAGACATGAGGGGAAAGGGGAAAGGTACCCTCTGAAATGGGAATTACAAAGTTTTTAAATGCTGCTACTGTATTTTATTTACCACTGTCTTTTCTATAATATCCAAGTTCTTAGTCAGGTTTTCTTACAGCGTTCATAGCAGTTGCATTTCAATTGTATTTTCAGTGAAATTTGTTTTACAGTGGCATTTAAAATTGAACTTTAACTGCTTCCTGATTGGTTTGATTTTTTTTTTTTTTAATGCAAACTTAACCCGTGAGGCTTGGATCCTGGTTAATATACTATGTGTTGCTGCTGACAGTAGTGCTTGCCTATTGTAACAGCATTGATTGTGCTGAAGCCTCGGTGTAAACTAAATAAACGTGTCATTTTCACCCACAAACAGTTGTTCAGCCCCTGGACTCGGGTTGCCAGTATTGTGACCAGTGTTTTAGGTGCCAAGAATAAATCAGCTCAGCCCTGTAGCCTGTCCAAGAACCAGGGAGGGGCCTGGCCAGGAGGGGGCAGCAGGAGTCAGCGTTTCTGTTTCAGAGGCCTGGGACTTGACTTGAAATCCTGACATTTAGAACTAAGAGGGACCTTAGATCATGCACTTTCCGGTTTCCATGCTGTTCTGTGGGGAGCGAGTCTCCAGTCCCATTCAGTATTAGGCGTCCAAGTCAGATCTGATTTAGAAGAAAGGTTTTGATACTTAAAAGTCTGAAGTTAGTGATCAATCCAACCTCTTGGTTTTTTGTTGCGGAAACTGAGATTCAGGTATCAGCAAAGATTCATCCAGGGTTACCAATGAATAAACAGCAAAATCTGAGTAAGAAACTTTCTCTTCTGATCCCCTCAGGTCAGTACTCTTAGGCTTCCAGAAAGCAGCCTTAGATAAATAGCTATTTTAATCTGGTTCTCTTTCAGTTAGCCAAGCCAGGAATCTTGCAGAAGAGCTTAGAAGTTGTTACCAAAAGGCTTAAACTGTGGGCCCTACTCTCCCTCCTAACTAAAATCAGAAGGTTTTGATATTATAATGCAGGGTTTTTGTCTTTCATTTTAACCTTTCAAGTACATAAAAACAAATGTTAATAGCATGAGCTAAGTTCAAGTCATAATGTCTTAAATCAGTGGGGTGACAAGGGTGGAAGGAGCATTTTTGACTAACGCAAATGGGTTAGCTGTGAACTGTGTCAGTATTTAACTTATTTCTGAATCTGTTTTGTATGGTATAGAGGGAAAATCCTGACTGTATATAGGTAAGTGGTAATAGTCATAGCCTGTCTGACAAAACTGAAGTAGATGCTTGAAAAACAGGATTTGGAAAAGAATATCCAATACGTGCTTTCCACCCTTATCTTCCATACACTGGGTAGGAAACACCCTGAGGTTATGATCTGTAAAACTACTATGGTGAGAACCAGTAGCATTGAGTTGTTGCACCCTCTGGATCAATGACCCCTGAGAAGCCCACACAAACACAGTAATGGAGGCGTTTCTGTGAGGTCTCAGGCAGCCTAAGTATTGCATGTTTTATATCTGAGTGTACATACTAAGAATGACTTTTAACAGGACATTTGAAGCGAATGTTTTTAGGGAACCTCTGAAGCGCTGCAACAAACGCTAGTTTCAAAACCACCAGTTTGCTGGAAAGAACCTGGGTTTCTGAGTCCACAGCCCTGGGTTGGAATCCGAGCCCTGCAACACCAGCTGAGTTGCCCGTGCACAGGTGAGGAACTGAGTGGGCATTTCCTCATCTAGAGCAGAGCACTTGCCACAAAGGGGGGGTTGGTGGTAAGTGTCCATGATATGAGACGACATGTCCGTCTCTGGCTGCTGGTGGACATTCTGAACGATTACAGCCAGACAGTGCTCTCCGTCCCACCATGTATTAAAACTGCACGACGACTGGTCCTGCCCTGGGGTCTTCCACCTTGTAGAGGTAATATTCTGGTCTGAGTTTTATGATAAATTGCCAGTATATCACTACTCAAGGACTTTAAAGTTCACATATGAACTTAAAAAATTTTTTTTAATGGATTCAGGTCTGCAAGTGTACTGCTGCCTTAAAATCCTATAAAAGCAATGGGAAGGGGGCCAAGAGAAAGAAACTGTGTGTTGGGGTTGAGGCAGCATCCAAGAACTCCCAAGCCCTGTGGAGATTGATGTGGCCTCACTTTGCTGAACAGCTGGTGAGTTTTAGGTTCCTAATTGAAGACCAAGCCATAAGGTGTGCAGATCAGCTCTCCAGGCTGAGGAGCAGAGGAGGAGGAGTGAGGGGGGGTCTCAGCTCTGTGCTGCGCAGATATCTGAGGCACATGCCTGGGCCCAGGTTGTGTCCTCTGTCTAGCAAGGGAGCCCACTAGGAGCCCAAGGTTGGAAAAGCTGTGACCTTGCATTCAGCTGGTCCTCCTTGCCATCTCCAATGCCAAAAGAGCCTAAGGTGGCAGCACATAGTTAAGGCTTTGTCATCCAACTTAAAACAGATGTGAGTCAATTGTAAATGCCAGTACGAAAATCAGTCCCTGGAACTGGAGGTTCTTTCGAGTCACCCAGAAGACGCTGGTACCAGCTGGCATGTACTCTACTGGGCCAGCTCCCAATTTTGAAGTCCCTGTCAGCCCTTGGGAGCTGATGTGCGTAGTATAGTTCTTTGTCCTTTCATTTGACTTGATAAACCAGCCAGCTGCTGCCTCAGACTTCTGCCCCCAATATCTTCTCTGCTCCAAGACATTTCTTCTCAGAGCACCCACGATGCGGCGCCCTTGATAAACCTGCTGGCTCTTCTGCCTCTGCAACTGGCCTCCGGGGCTGCGCTGGACCGTCCTGGCCCTGCTTCTGTCTTGATGTTCCTGAGGTTCAGGTCTCTACTCTCCTACACGTGCTTCCTTGGAGATTTATAAATCAAGCTACTTAACATGGAGACATTATTAACAACAGTTCCACATGAATCGCTGCCAAAAATGCAGCTAAGGCTTCCGTCCCCATGGGGCTTGGGGAACTGCTAACGCATCAGGTGTTCCCACCTGAGCCAGTGGCAAGGCTGCCCCACGTGCACACCCCTCCGCCCACCCTGTGCAGCTCCAAGGCATTAACTCAGGGGCTGGTTCTCATGGGCCTAAGGACTCTGCTCGCCCAGTCTTGTCAGTCAAAAGGAGGGCCGAACGAAAGGCCTGCAGTACCACCCTTGCTTTCTGTCCTCCACGTGCAGGATCTAAAGTGCAAGGATATCAGTGATTCCTTCCCAAGCAGTCAGCCTAGAGCAAGTGTGAACACTGATGCCAATTTGCCTTCCTCTCCCCCACCCCCAAATAGGATGTTAACCTCTTCTTCCCAGACTGTAGTTAATTCCTCCCAGAACCTCCACCCACCTTCCCTGGAACTGTGTGTTCATAGAGCCCAGTCACAGGAAGTTCTGAGCCACCCCAGGCAGGAATGAACCACGACACTGGCACACGGCTTTTATGTCCTGCACGAGGGAAAAGAAGAGGCGGCAGCAGGGGCCTCTATCTCTCCTTACCCGGGAGTCCCGGGCCACCCTTGTCACTCTCCTGTCTTCCATGTAGCTCTGCCCCCCAGTGCATTCCAGAATTCTGAATATCACTGCCAATGCCTGAAAAGCCCAGACCGAGCTGAGGACAAGAGCCTGGGTGTCTGAGGTCACCTGGTGACCCCTCATTTCTAGGGCCGCTAACTGAGGCCTCAGCCATGGGGTCTTTTACCTTTAACAGCTCTGGATGTGCCAGGTGACTCATTCACTTAACTAATGAGGCCTATGGTTCTGCACAGGCTTTTGTGGTGACTAAGACACATTCCTGCCCCCGTGTCCCTTGTGATGAGATGGCATTTCTGTCTCTGGCACTGTTTGCCCTCAAGAATGTGCCATCTGCTAGAGAAGATTGGGCAAATAAGTAAAAAGACTCTCATTATCCAAAAATCTGGGACCTGAAAAGACCTTTTAAGTGTCAACCCACTGTAAATGGAGACCAGAATTTCATATAGTAAATAGTGAAAAGGGCTTAATTGGAACAAGTATCTATTAGCAAAATGTAGTTGCAACAATGGGCTAATTCTTAGAAAAAGAATATTTTACATGTATTTCCCTCCTAAGGCATATGACTGTACAATAACATCATTTCATGCTTGATTTCCACAGTGCAATCAACCACAGGGTTGTTCCTGCAAAAGGGTTTCTTCAGTTCCCCAGAGGGCTTCTCTTAACCCTTCAGTCCTTTGATAGTCAGACTACCCCCCTGTGCGCCTCACTTATTAGTGGGCCTCATTCTCAGTCCTCATTTGCCAGGGACTGCACTCATTTAAGCAGTTTCCCAACAATACTAACATGACTTTATGAAATTCTACATGTTTTGCAAAACTTAAATGGTACTTTGGCACCTGTTTTGTTTTTTCAATGTCAGAAGTTTACAGCATCTCACAATCATAAGAGATGGAGTAAAAGCGGAAGAGGCACTATGGTGGATGGAGGGTTTGTTAAGCAGTGAGACAGTGTCTAAGTGAAAAGTAATTTTATGTGTCAGTCGTTTAGAGAATACTTTTCAGCCTTCCTCTAAAACCTAGTGGTTACAGCAAGTTGAATACGGACTAGAGATGCTCAGAGGAGGAAGCAAGCCCATCGACGTGTCTGACCAGAGAGCCTGCCCTTGAGGGACAGCAGTGACTTAACCCGTGGTGATACTGGGTCACCACGAGCCAAGGCAGGAGGGCAGGTCTGGGGAACTGAGCCCGAGGGCACGGGTTAGCAAATGAGGGAAGGCAGGAAGTATTTGTTAAAAGCCAAAGAAGTCTATTTGGGCCAAACACTGGTCTCCATTCTATAGCTATTTGAGGGTTCTCAACAGAGAATTGAACAAGAAGGTAAAAATACTTACCCTAGGCCAGGCACTGTTTGGGTACTTTCCATGAAGTGACACATTTAATTCTATCAGTCTTCTACGGTCAGTACTATTTTATCCTCACTTGAAAATAAGGCAGCAGCCACTGACTTGATCAGAGGTTGAGACAACTCAGCCAGAAGACGCTCGAGCTGGGTACCCGCCTGTGTATGCCTAGCTCTGTGCTGCCCCGACCCTGCTCTGTGGGGCCTGTGTTCTAGCCCCTTCATCACTTATTTAGGGTGTGACCTTGACCACTCTATGCTGCTGCTTTAATTTCTCATCTGTGGGGAAATCTGTCCAGTCCACCCACGAGGCTGTCACGGATCCAGGAGGAAATAGATCATGTTTCACCAAGTCCAGCTGCCCTGCAGCATGAGGGGTAACATCCTGCCAAAGCTGGCACCTGAATGCCTGCTCTGACTCCCCACATCTTACCTGCGTTCTCATATAGTCCAGAAAATGGAGGCAGGAATCCCGCTTGCTTCCCAGGCCACCTGCCCCGCTCCAAGGTAACGGCACTTCTCCTTGTACCTGTACCTGCCGAACTGGAGGGAGGAGGGAAATGTGTCGGAACCCTTGCCCTCAGAGGGGCACTGCACGCCTCTAGTCCAGAGTAGCAGAAAACTTCGAAAGGAGCCCTCTGGCACCCTTTCCTCCGTGGTACCCTCCCCTGCTCTGTACTTCCACAGCCCTGCCTGACAGGAGCCACGGAAGTGTGATGAATGCTGCAGAGCAGTCTGGTGGCCCGTGGGAACCTGTGGCAACTTGGGAGGGGTTCCTAAGGAAGTAATGTTTAAACTAAGGCCTGAAGGATGAAGAAGGAAAGAGAAGATGCTAATTCACTGAGCACGAACTGTGTGATAAGCCACCTGCGTCATTTCATTTAGTCCTAACAACCGTTGAAGATAGGTGGTATTATTCCCGTTTTACAGATAAAGAAACTGAGGCTCAGAAAAGTGAAGAGCCCTATCCAAGGTCACTCAGCTAATGTGCAGCAGAATGAGGACTTAAACTCTAGTCTGCATGATTCTGAGGAGGCTGTGGTTATTATAATCATGGCCAGAAGCGATAGTGGCCTCAGCAGAGGCAGAGAGGAGTGGATGTGTGGGCCCAAGGGGGACACTGAAGGCAGAATTGACAGGACTCAGCACTACTGAGGCAAAGAAGGAGAAGGAATCAGTCAAAGACAATCCCAGGTTTCTGCCTTGATCAACTAGGTGGACAGTGATCTGTCTAGCTGGATCACCTACTAAGATGGAAAAAGGAAGGAGTAGGTTCAGAGGGGGGAAAAGTCATCTAAATTTGATAAATTCTACTTCAGTTTTTTAAAAATTGGCTGATTAAATGAAAATAAAACAGTGATAATTCCATGCCTAGAAACTCCCCCTCTTCATGCCTCCTCAATCCCAGTGTCCTAAGGGACCCCAATTCTTTGCTGATCCTTAGACCCTCTGATACCCAAACACCAAGCAGATCAGAACTGGGAGGACCACCAAGGGAATGCTGTCCTTGGACGCACTGCCTGCTCTCTTCTCTGCAGAGGCTCTGCCGGGGAGCAGCTGTCCACATGCCTGAGCTCCTCAGGGTGGAGTCCCCTGTCCTAGTACTCAGACCATTCTGTGTGCACAGCCTCTGCCGTCACACAGGGCCCTGTGCTCAGAAGGACCCTGCCCTTGGTTTAACACTCTTCTTGGAGTTTTGAAATTCCTACTGTTTTTAACAAGGGGCCTCATATTTTCATTTTGTACATAGGGGTCCTGCAAATTCTGTAGCCGATCCTGTCTACTTGTCTGCATCGTAATGACGCGAGACAGTGAATGGTAGGTAGCCTTTCCCTTCTGTGGGAATGAACTTCATTTCCAACTAGGAAGACCCATTACTTTAAATCAAAGGGAAATAAAGCAAAAAAGAGCTCACTTCCTTTGTTTCTATGAAATAGTTTTATGTGCAGGTTTTTTCTTTCTGGCTAATAACTTAGGAGGGAACCTTGGGAATAGAGTACAGAAATAACAAACTATGGGCCATTAACTATGGTTAATTGTTTCTTTATAGTTTAGAGTGAAGGCACATCTGGATTGCTCTGGCACTCACAGTTACAGGTAGGGAAGGAGGTCTGTTTAAATACAACCTAGGTTCCCTCAGGAGGTGGCGGGACAGGCAGTTGAGTGATCCCAGCCTAGCTCCCAAAGCTAACGCTGCCAGCAAGGCCTTATTGTGAGAAAGTATTTCTCTCACAAGCCTAATCACCAAGCAATTAGGGACCCCTCACCTGAGATCCCCGCAGGTGTGGAGGTGGTCTGCGTGCTGTCTGGGCATCCTGCTAAGGCAGCCTTCGGGGTGTAACTCACACTTGTCCCCAAGAAGTTGGGCTCATCTGCCACTCAGGCTCCAAACAGCTGCAAATCCTTGCTCACTTTAGTTAACATCTGTTTGAAAAAAGGTTGAACTCAAAAAATGTTTGAATTCTTTGCTAAAGAATGGTGCAGAAATGCTCCGCTGGTCATAATGAAAGGACTTCCC